CATCATCATCATCATCATCATCATCATCATCATCATCATCATCATCATCCACTTGGCCATGGTAAACCCAACGTAGAAGATGTATGAAGCAAAGCCCTCCATGGAATGAAGATGTAAAACATTGTAAAACCATGTAAAACCATTTCTGGCAAAGGAAGGGGGAGTTGTGACTCATCAACCGTCTACTACCGCAGAGCGGCTTTTTGGGGGCTTTTGGGGTGGTCGTTCAGGCCCAGGCTGCCGAATGAGCCCTGAGGTGCCGAATGACGAGGATCGGAACTGCATCAAGGACGGGTGAAGGGAGAGGCGCCAGAGTTGGAACCGCAGAGAAATGGCCAGAGTTGGAAGAAGGTCTACGGCGTCTACGGCGTCTACGGTATTTGGAACCGCTGGTTACCTATGATCCTTTGGGATATGTATGTTTGATATTGTTTGATGATCGTCGATCACTCATTGCCTCCTTGGAACTGCTTTTTCTCTATCTACGACGACCCAAAACGTGGAAGGATCAAAGGACCAGCTTCCACTGGGCTGCTAATCCAGAGAAATCTAAGGTAGGATTTTGCCGCTTGGAGCATTGATCTATTCAATCTAGGCTTTGCCGTGGACTTGATCTAGGTGGGGGCTATTAGTTTCTCGTCCTTGAGTTTAGTGTTTGCTTCCTTGGGACTACGCCTAGGTTGATCGTGCTGAGAATGGTTGATGGCTCGTACGTGTGACAGTGCGGGAGCATCGCTGTGACTTGAGCCACAACCAACATCTTGCATTTTTGCACTGGACAATACACATCGATGCTACTTCAAAACAACGTTGACTATTAGCTATCAAACATATTCAATAAATTTCAATAATACTACTTTATTTCTATTTGGATCCGATCATTTATTTCATCACATCCCAAGCCTTTTTCTATCAGACCTTCACTTTGTCACTGTTTTCTAGACACAACCAACCACCAAGATACTCCCACACCTTGGCCTCATTCACTTCAGCTAGCTCGACCACGAGTCTCGAAAACCGAACCGGCAGGAAATCTTGGCGGGTGTGGCGGTGCAAGGCAACTGGATGTTGAACGCACAAAAGCACGTGTCGGGGCGCCCACTTGGGGGCGCCCACTTGGGGCGGTGGTGCTCGCTTTCCCGAACGCTCCGGTGTGTTTTGCGTGTGAGGTCGTGGCTCCAGGATCAGATCGGCGTCGACGCCCCGGAGGAGTGGAAACCCTCCGGACCGGTGGGGGCCTTAGTCGGGTTTGGAGAAAGAAAGCTCCATGACATCAGTGCATAGTGGCATAGACATGACCTATGCGACTGGAATATGCCTAGAAGCCTACATGGACCCCTTTTCAACCACGGACCCCGTGTGTGCAAAGACGGCGGTCCGGAGTGTCTGGGTGGCGGTCATGGCACCCGGGGAACTCTGGTTTTTCCCACCGAAAATGGACAGAGTAGACGACCTACTAGACATGGTCAACCTACCAGGGTGAGTTCTGGGCTCCAGGTGCCATGATCCGACCAGGAGCGCATAGTTGCCCTCAAGGGGTCAGACTCAGACTCAATTTGAGCATAGTGCTTGAGAAGTAGTGGATGTGGTGACCATGAGTCCATACCTTGTGAGGATTGGCTGTTGGATGGATCCTCATCCTACCTTACTGGTAGGGATGACCCAGAAAAGATGGCCGACATGCAACCAGCCAGTCTTTGCAAACAGGCAGGTCACTGTTTGGCGACCACTAGACTTCCCCTGTACACACGTCTTGTCTCTCAGTTTGAGCTCTTTTCTCACAGGAATGGACCACTGACAAGCCCTACAGTTTGCTGGGATCACAAGTCACACTCCCCGTCCCAATTTCTTCCGATTCCTCCTCTGCCTCCGCCTCACGCACACCGCCCCACACGACCGGCCTACCACAGGTGGAGGTCCCGGCGCCCAAAGCCCGACAAGGCTCCGGGTCAACGGTGGCTCCTGCGCCCGGTACGAGTATAGGGGAGTCATGTAGAGGTGACGTCGGGCCTGTCCCACAGACGTGCTTTCAGGGGGAACAGAAAGTCATGTAGAGTAGGGGAGTCAACTCCAAAAGAAGGGTCCCCTAGCAGTACCTGACTAGCCAACCTGACTCTACAGGTCTCCGAAATGGCTTTGGGAGACTTGAAAAGTGGAGGTGGTGACCTGTTGGAGGGTGCTGGCAGGGGACATGATTTTCGAGAACTTCCTTTACCTTGACTTAAGGAAAAGTATGGTCGAACTGGGGCTTTTCCGACGCTCGGGCCGCAGGTAACGACTGAGACTCCTCGGCCTGCAGGCTGCGGGATGACTGGGGAGCGGGTTTCAGGTTCTTCGGGAGAAATCCGTCGGCTTCAGGCAATCCAATCCACTGGATCTGGTGAAGAGGGAGACCCCGATCCGGCCCTGGCTTTCTTCGACTCGATTCCGAACCTTCCAGGGGGTAATTGGGGGCCCCCTTTGGATGACCATGTTCCGAAAACCAAGCAGGTGGTGGTGGCATCCACTTCCACGTGAATGTGCCAGGGAGTGTACCCAGACACTCCATGGGAGTCCGAAACTGTAGCATGTAATGCAGACGGTTGATGATTAAACTTAAACCACATTCACCCCTCCCCACCAGTCAGGATGGTTTTACCACTTTAATACGAGGGTCTTGTATCAATCAAGCGTCTACACTACGGCACGAGTCTCTGCTTCTCGCTAGTCTAGAGTCCAGTGGCAGATTTCTTCCTTGGTCTTTGCGGCAGTGTGGGTGATGTTTGATTCGAGCAAAGGTTGGCTACATGCGCCACATCGGCCTATCACTTCTATCAGGTAAAGATTTGATTAGTTATTCCGATTGATTGATTCTATCAATATCATATCATCTCAGAGACCATGTGGATGCGGTAGGTCATGTGCCCCAGATCATTCCTATTTGCCAGCTATGAAAGAGTAGGTTACCCAATTGGCCACCACCAAACATGTCAGACAATCTTTTTGTGCAGCTCAGACTCATTCAGCAGCCGAATGGAGTTGCCAGGACGGTAGCCCTTCGCCCTGATTGGTGTCCCACTAAACCAGAACAGGTTAAAACATGTTAAAACCTCTTTTCAGGGAAACTGAGAGAAATATAGGAAGCCTTTCCCTTGTTGCATTTCTGCTTTTTGGGTATGCTTCACCACAGCACTGGCTTGAGCTTTAGGACTAGAAGAGGTCCACAATCACTTGATGCCTATCGACCATTCTGTGTTTGGTCTATTACATATCAGGCTCTTGCCCCTGCCCCCTTTTGGCCAGGGACCTTCAAATCGACCCCTTGAGCCAAAACACCGATTCATTGAGAGATGAGCACGTCGACTCACCGGGCGAATCAGCGAATCAGCCAGTTTGGGTGTCAGAGTACGTCTCACCGGGACTTCCACCGAAGCTTCTTTTCGTATTTGCCCGACCCAGAGCGGGGAAATCACCTCCACCAGAGCGAGGGCAATTGAGGGATGCCGGGGGGGGAGGTGCCCCACTGAACATCCAACAGGTGGAAAGAACTGGTATACCTTTATTTTTCCCAGCCAGCTTGCGGCTCCGGGGGTCAGTTGGACCTGAATTGGCAACGACACGTCCTCGGACGTCGAGCGTTCACGGGGTGCCCAGGCCGAACGTCACTGACTTGCCAAGCGTTAATCGCATCCCATGAGAGAAGTCAAAAACTATGAAAAGCTTGTGCAACTGTGAGCTGTCATATCGACTGATTCGATCAAGATACTGTTTACATGGACGGATCTGGAACTGGTGTGGAGGAAGATGAGAGTGAGCAGGTCCTCCGTATTTGTGTGTGAAGCAAGTTATATCGTGTCGTGTTGTTTTTTCCAGGTTTGAAACCTTTTCTGTAGGGAATCTTCAACAGTCAGGGTAACCACGCCAGGCGAAGAGCACCCACTGGAGATTTCAAGACAACTTCCTGTCTTGTCATTCCAAGATGCTTTCACAGTTGCTCCCGTGAGACCACCTCCGGATTGGACTCTCTCAACTATCCCCGACAAATTCTGTTTGCAAAACCAAAATCGGTGGACATGATTTTGCAATATCGTTTGCTTGAAACAGATTTCCATGTCGTTTGCCATATCGTTTGCTTGCTATATTGTTTTGCCATATAGTTAGTAAAAGTTATTTAGAATATAGTTATGTTCATGAGCTTTCTTTTCCGGTAAAAGAACAGCACGGTGGGCAGCGCCGATTTTTTCTATCGGGTCATGACGTGCCACACGTGCGATTCTTAAAAAAGCAACGGCTTATTTTTCCCTGGTTTATGGTGTTTTTGCATTTCGCATGTTGTTTTTGAAGAGGTCCAAGTGCTGTAAGGCTGTAAGTTACAGGGTTGTTCTGAAGGTCCGTTTTGTTTTTGATTTTGTTGTGTGTTTCGCTACCGTTTTGAAGACATGAGTGTTCTTTCCGTGCGGTCCAAGTTTCGGATGCATCACTTGCGGTCCAAGTCGCTTTCCGCTTCGGTTCATCTGCATGATTTCTTTTTCAGCTCACCGGTCCGCAAACTCGGCCCAGATCCTTCAAGCGTCTGGTGCCAGAGCCTCTGATGTGCTGAAACATGACATCCTAATGTTCAGACATCCTTCTTGTCCGTGGTGTTTCATTGGCTTGGGGATGCTTTGCTTCAGGCAGCACCAAATTCCAAGCGATCCGCCAGCAGTTAATCCGGTTTAGTGACGCATGTCCTGTGTGTAGTGGGTGTCTTGGGCGGTGTATGCGTGCATGCTATCATACTTGCGTGCAAGCGCACTATGTGCGGGTGAGTACAGTACGCGCGACTTCCTGCCAAGATGCGTCAGCGAAGACAATATCGTTACGCGCGCTCAAAATGTTCCCTAATATTGAAGACCCCCCTCCACGTGCTTACATGTGCATTCCACAAGCAACATCACGGAAACAAAAAAACAGTCAAGCGCACGGCCCCCTTACAAGCGGTTGCACCAAAACACAGGATGAGAAACACAGAATGTGCGAAAGTTTCCATGAAATATTGAATGTGTTTGTTCAAATGCTAGGACTTCTTCTCAGGGTATGGAGGCAAAGGTGCTCCAGATGTGCGATTGATGCTTTGGTCGATCTAGCCCTCTGTCTCACCCGCCAGCGCGGAGAATAAGCTCCAAAGGAGCATTCACCAATCGAAATTGGGTTCGGTGGAAAAGTCGTTAGATATACCGAGCTCATTCGGGCCACACTTTCTGCCTGAACCAACAAGTAGAATAAATAGAATTCATGAATAGAACCAGAATGAACCAGAATCCATGAGGTTGTCCCTGGTATTTGTATAAAAAGATCCCAACAGTGTGTGATTACATTTTTCTGTGTCGATCGATGGCGATGTTTGACACGGTTCAATGAAACCCGGAAGGACATGGCGGACATGGCTGAAAATTGTCATGTTTTCAGTATACAGTGACAGTCTGACAGTGTATGATGTTAGGGTGTAGTTCCTTTGCATGTGTTGTTCCTCTTTGTCTCGGGCGCCCAAAGCAGCAGCCTTTGTGTCTGTTTTGAGCTGTTCGTTGGTCGAGGATTCCTAATCGGTGCCCCCTTTTCAGCCATGCAGTGACGGTGCCATGCCGCTTCACTTCCATCCCAGCTTGCGGATGTTCGAAGAAGTGGCCCAGGAAGTGGTCGAGTGCTTGGCTGTTTGGTGCAGACGAGTGCGACCAGAAAAAAGACACCGCACGAACAGCGGGCGTGAGCGTTTGGAGCGGCACAGAGCTCGGCGTTTTGTTGGATGCAAACAGGTCGTAAAGGAGCTATACCTGGGGGCTTCCTCTGACACCGCACACCGACTCTGAGACCTCTGCCTTCGAAGCTACGCTTTTAGGTCACCCGTACATGTTTTCAGGGCTCTCCGTACGTTTTAAAGAACCAGTAAAGGAGGTTCAACTCGAAGGGTTTTTGTTTGCAGACAGTACAAGAAGCTACTAGGGGCTCCTGGCCTTACTACTAGGAGCAAGGACGCTACTAGGGGCTCCTGGCCGTACTACTAGGAGCATTCTTACTACTAGTAACAAGAAGCTAGGGCTGGGTAACCTCTGATACTGATGCTCTTCATATACTCTTCTTAAAATGTTCGGTTCAACGCTACCTCAGGAGTTGCATTTCGATCAATCTCCACCAAGTGGTCTGAAACCTGATTGAACCAACCAGGGGTTGCAGAAGAGACTTCTCGGTTTCAGACCTTCTCAGGAATTAAGCAAACTTCTGCTTACCCCTTAGTCCATCCGATTCCACCAGACTCTCCTCTTCCTAGGTTTTCCCACTTCCTATTGAGTCTCCAACATCCAACATCCGCAGCTTTCGCAGCTCCAATCATGGCTGCTGTACCTCCCCTCCGCCCTGTCACGCTGCCCATGCCCGTGGCCGCGGCCACCGGCGCGGCCGCGCGCGCGCACGGCGCCTATGGAGTCCACGGCGCTCACGGGCTGGTCGTGGCACCCGCGATGGGCACGGCACCGGGGCGGCCGCGGGTGGCGCGGGCTGCGGGGAGTGGTGGAACGGCGAAGGCTGCACGCGGAGTGGTGGTGTCTTGGAGGATGTTGGAGGTGCTGGGGGAGGAGTTGGTTGAAGCTGGAACTGGCAGTGGAGTGAGCATCCTGTATAGAATGGTCTATTTCGCAGAGTTATTCCCCACGAGAGTTCGATGGGATGGAGTTGGTAGATCCGGGACGATTCTGGGTTTCCCAGAGCATTTACGCGGAATCTGTTATATACCCCCTACATCCCCTACCGGACCCTGGAATATGATGATGGCATATATGGGGCTTAGTAGAGTGTCCGTGATGCATGTGTGACCGAGAAAACCACGTTGATCACCGGTTTGTCACATCCACTTGCATTCACTTTAGCACCCCTGGTGGCAACAGTTCTGAGTTTGCTTCAGTCTTCTTTTCCATCCCCCTCTACTGGGTATACTTGAGCGATTTCGTGAGCAAAGCTGGAGCTGAGCAGACCGGTGGAGATTTGATCAGCAGCTAGTATGTATCACAGCCCTTTGTGGACAAACGACGCAAAAGACTGCAAGGTTTTTGCACCATGTCTTGCCACCAACATCCACCAACTATATATATATATACATACACACATATACCCCAAATTCTCTATTTCTTTCTTTCTTTCTTTCTGTATTTCTTTCTTTCTGTATTTCTTTCAAGTCTAGAGACACAGGCCCTAGAAGATTGCCATGCCATACCCTATCGCCGTCTCGAAGTTCATCCCTTGGTGCCTCACCACCGTGTGACGCCGCAAAGGCCTGGCTCCGAGCTTCCCCGGATCTCCTCGTCCCCGTTGTCCCGGTGGATCACCTTTTTCGACCGCAGTTGGAACCCCAAGGCTTTGGGCTTTACTCTGGCGATCGTGGGCGGCTTGACATCGCTGCTGCAGCTCAGCTGGACCGCCGGCGGGGACTGGGGCACTGGAGGAATGACCATCATGAGATCATGAGAAGCAAGTATAGATCATGAGATTCATGAGATTCATGTCGACTGAGAATTTGACATTGAAAGTTGATTCTGTTTTTGCATTTTGCTGTAGCCGAATACTGATGATTGCAGCTTGGGTTGGAGGAATGGGACATGATTCCACCTGCATGATCTTAAAGCAGTCATCAAGGCACAGATTTGGTCTCACACTTCGTCTGGCAAATGTGAGTAGTTACGTACATGTGAGAGGATTTGTGAGGTGGTCTTTCATTCTTTAGGCTTAATTCAGGATAGTCGGGCAGCCATGATCATGGCTCCCAACCGATTGGAATTATACACTCGTACTTAGTGATCGCTGATGTACGAAGGCAAAGCTGAGTTTGGTGGGCGGAGAGGCTGTGCTAAGAGACCACAGATTTCATCGGATTCCTCATGGATCCAACAAAAATCGCCAGAATGAGGCAATTTCACAAGTGACCAGAAAGTCGAAGGGCTTTCACAGGAGTTTGCTTTACTCCAGCAGTACTGCTCTTTTTCAAGGCCTCCACCAATCCCAATGCGTTTCCAACAGTGTTGGTTTGATCGATTCCTGAATTTGCCAGGTGCAAACTCCGAAAACCAAAAGACAAACACACACCAAGATATAGGCTCGCAAGAGCTGAACCAGTTGTGAAAATCCAGCGAAGCTAGCACTTTAAGGTTAGTTACTGCATTAGCCATCTAGAGCGCTCAACCTCGACCTTCAAAATGCCCCCGTGAAGAACGGCAAGGCGATAAAGTCCGAGAACAGTATTGCTTAAATCACCGCATGATTCAGGTTGGAAAAGCAGGTACTTGAGAGCGATCAGCTCTCACTTCCCGTGCGTCAGGTAGCTTCGTTGGACATGGTTCCTGAACGCACGCCATGCCCCCTGCGCATCATTGGCAATAGGACACTCTCCGCATCTCCCAGAATGATGTTCCACAAAGAAAACGGCCCAACCTGTCCGGGGTCGGAACCAGAGGAGCTTTGGAGGATGGGCTTTTGGTCTTCAGTGGGCCTTCTTCCTCCTCCAAGCCTGGCCACAACGCTGCTGGTCCAAACATTGGGAGGAATTGGAGGGGGCTTTGGCGTTTTGTTGTTTAGGGGGCACGCGCGGTCTTGGATGTCATGGTAGGTGTTCGCTGTTGTTGTTGTTGTTGCTGTTGTTTACACGTTTCAGGCATCCTGGGCCATACCCATCGAAATGATTCAAAACAAATGGAGTCTGTCGTTGAGCACAGACACTATGGACGCACAGCAAGATATGGAGCGGTTGCTCCTGAGATTCAGATATGTAATCAGATGGCACATGATGGATGAAAGACGTGATCTATGAATACATAACTCATCTGGGGGTTGAACCTCTTTGCCACGTGCCTCCGGGAGGTTCAGAGAAGCTCTATGATGCCTCAGGCCACGGACATGGGCAGATGGGGCACAAAAACCGGTGAATGTCCTCAGTTGGAGCCTTGCACCACGGAACTTCAGTGGGCCCAAGCCACTCCACGAATTCGCTTGGTTTTTCTTGAGAAGGCGGATGACTCGGAAGGAACTGAAATGTTGCTGGGGCTGTTTGAAGGAAAAAGGAGCTCATTCGCAGTTGAGATGGAATTGAGAAGGTATAGACGACAAGGACTCAGGGCCATTTCTGACCACAAGTAGGGACAAGATCTATTCATTCTATTCAAGAAGTCAGTTTTCTATGTATCAATCCAAATCGCGGTGTTCCACCAAACTAACCTATTTTGAAACAGGTCAAAGCTCTCAAAGATTCTTAAAGCATTTTTGAATCACATTTAGAGCCGTTCTCCCAGCAACATTTTGTAGCTGTAGCAACAAAAACATCTTGCTTGGATAAAGCCTGTGTCAAATCATATCAACCATGATCAACCCTGTTGTCTTTCATCATATGATTTCTTGAAAAAGAAACAACAACGAGGGAGTCTTCAGGGAGGTACATGAACAGCAAGAGACGTGTGGGAGGGGATGGTGTGAGACTTCGAATATCAACATAGAAAACAGAACAGAAAGCAGTAAACATTGACTTGTTGGCTCTAGGGCCTCCAACACACTCATTTGTTTCATGGAGTTTTCTTGTGCGAAAGGCAAAGGACACTGGCAGAACAGAACCCAAGAAAGTGCTCAACGAATAAAGCTGTGCGGAGTTTGTTGGTGTCAAGTTCTTCGTTGAGCCCGCATTCTACCTGTAAGCTTTTCCTCAGGAAAGATCAGATTAGATCCCCCTCAAAAGAGGATCCCTTTTCACCAATTTGGTTCCGGGTTTCCAAGCCATTGCACATCCTTCTTTTGAACCAAACACCTGGGCCAGTCACGGCAAAAGAAGAGGCTCCTTGACACACCTGGCGCTGATCCTCACGGCGCTGCTCTTGGAACCACTGAAGAGCCCTCGGCAGATCCTGCTGAGCCTGTGCGCGGTCGTGTGGTGCACCCGCCCTTCGGACGGCGCCGGTGGTTGGACTGGGGCGGCTCGGGCGCTGGATGGAGAAGTAACGAGCTTGGCAAGGCATCCAATAAGCCGCCATGATATCATATCCACCTTTTAAAGATTGAACACCTTCTAGTAACTAGTATTCTAGTAGTTAGTAGTCCTTGATATCCAAGAGTATTCAAGGAATCATCCAAGGAAATCCAAGGATAATCCTTGAGAAGCTATGAGAACATACTATCAGAACCTTCCATGAAATCCATGGTAAAAAATATGGAGACCATGATATTCAAAGAGGCTTTTTGTCCCTCCGATGATCTCTTGATGCAACAGAGTCGCTTGTCATCGACTCGACGACAAGCCGATCGACTCCACAATCGACTCTTCATGGGAACCCAGGCAGTGGGAATCTTCATGTCATGATCCTTTTCCTGCGAAGAAATCTTCAGTTCATATACATATTAGGTTCTGAATGATCACGGCGGTGATGTTCCGTGGATTCTCATCGAATCAGGGCGATGTTCCCCTCAACTTCAGAAAAAGCATGATCGGCGCTTCGGGACCTCGAGTGGTCGGTGTGATCTGAAGAACAGGCCTCGTCTTGTTGATGACCCTCTATAGACTCTATGGGATCTCAAGGACACTCACATGGAAGGTCCTTTTGAAGGATTAAGATCCAATGAGCGAGTCAGCGAATTTGAGGGACACAAGCAGTTCTTACCCTCTTGGGATCTATGACATCTGGTGTAGACCTCCCATCGCGGACGGACCTTGACAACCCCTGAATAGCTCGGCTTGTGGAAGTATCCCATGTCCCAGACAGGTTCACCATGCGGGATGTGAAACAAACACGCATGGTGCGCAGAATGTGTGGTTTTGAGGTCTAGTTGGTTTTTCAGGTGTCTTCTTTTGGACATCCCAAATCACCCGTCCTCCATGATCGGTCCGTTTTGCGGGCGGCCGTATGTGTGTTCGTCCGAGGTTTGGGCACCTTCTTGTTCAACCGCATAGCACAAGATGGGAAGGACGGGTAGGGGACGGGACGAAGGGAGAGAGGGATGGGAGACGGGTGGAGATGGCTGGGTGTGAAAATCAAGAGAGGTGGAACAGGAGAACAAGGATGACAAGCTTCATGGGGTTCATTGGGTTCATGATGATTCATGCGTTCTCTCAGAGGGTGGGTTTAAAACCTTTCATCATTGATCATTCAGATTGTCAGGATGAGGATGATGAGGATAGAACAAGGTTGATGCGAGGGTGTGGTGACAATGATCATCATGTCATCTTTGTTATCATGATGTTCATCCACACATTGATGTCATGAGTCATTCTTAGCATCATCTACAAGATCGTGGTCCTCCTCATCAGCCATGACATGACCAAATGAGAGGGGAAGATGACATGAATGACATGATATGAAGGTACGGCAGGGCTGAGCATTAGGATAACAAGGATGAGACGTGATGATCACGACATCATGACATGACCAGCTTCGCCATGACATGAATCAGGGGAGTCTGGTGAAGCTGCGGCCGAATGTTTGGCCTAGTCATCCCTCAGGTTCCGGCGATGTCCTCATGGAAACTGAAGAGATCCCTGCATTTGAGAAGAACATTATGTCTTCCACTGTCTTCCAACTCCGCACACATCAGTATGAAAAGAGATTCACATAGAAGTTAAAGACCATTTGTGATTCTTCCTTTCATAGCTCTTAGGATGTTGAGACCCCCCCCCCGTCCCGGGAGACGAGAGGCTTCGTCTTGCGTCTCAGACGAGCGGATTCGTCGACGCCGACGCCGACACGAGGACACGAGGTTTACGGAGCTCAAGAAGAACTTCTGGACCTTTTCAATCGCTTGGAACTTCCAGGCGAGGAGGGATGGAGAGGAGAGAGAGGAGAGATGAGAGATCTAGGGGATGATAGGGGATGCAGATTTTCTCAAGGAGTACCTTGATTTGAGCTGAGTTTTAGCTACCGTCGGGAGAAGCTTGTTGGATTGTGAGATTTTTTGAAGCACATGAAAGCACAAGGGGCTTCAAACACCACACCTAACACTTGGCTCTCAGTGCCCAAGGTTTCTTGTGGGAGAACTGAGGGGTGGGGGGGTGTCGGCGCCAGACTCTTGGTCCGTCCGAAAAGCTGGGTTAAGACTGCACTGGCCAGGCATTGGTGGGTCACTTGTTAAGACTCCACAAGACAATGAAGGAACTTGCCAGGTGGGTCACTTCAAGTCACGCTCCCTGAGCTGAACTTGAGCAAGCTCTGAATGTGGCACTGGTCAACCCGAAGTGGAATTGACCCACTTGGTAGCAATTCTTGGATGTTCCATACATGCCGTACTTCAAAAAAGGATCATCACATCTCATGACATATATCTCTACTCGAGTCGCTCAAGTCCAACACGCTGCTGGGGCGTTTCGAACGCTGAGCGTCCCAGGTCCTTTGGGTCTTTCTCCTGCAGCTTCCCGCCGCGCGGAGGGAGACCGAGAGAGGTGAAGACAGGAAGCACGATGACCAGGGAAGAGGTAGGATGTTCATCAAATGTTCAGCAAGAGCACACGTCAACCAGTCTTCAGAATCTTTAGACCCACTCTACGTCGTTATATTATTTACATAGATACTGGAAGACTGTTTTATTTTTCTGCGTGTAATGTGTACAAGGTTACCGTAACCCCTCAAAAGCTCGGCGTGGTTGATTCTAGGGCATAGGTGCCAAGCTGCCCCATGACTCTAGTGTAGAATCCACTCTTGAATGTCTAGGCTTTCGGCACCAAAAGTACACTTGCAGTGGCCCACCTGCTGTTCAGCAGCTCATCTCCCATCGGTTCACCACGTAGTCCAGGAACGAAACGTGTGGGTTGTAAAGTATGTATATATACATTTATGTATGTATATAATGTATTTATACTATATATATATATATACATAACCAAGTCTACTTGCAAGTGAGGCTTTTCCATTTGCAAACTAGGGCTTTCAACTTTGCTCGTCATCCCTTTTGCTAATTGAAGCTCGAGCACCCGGGCACCCGTCACCCGTTGCTAGCAATGGGGTGGTGCTATGATTCCGATCCTGGGGTTTCCGCCTCTGATTCTGATGAATCATCCGATGATGAGGAAAGGGGCTTTGAAGTTTTGAATCACAAAGGCACAACGGTGTTAAATTATATTACGGTTTACCCCTGGAAGGTGCCATTGAATCAACGTCAAATAGACTATGTGGAGATCGGAACACTCTTTGCCACACTTTCTGGCTTCCTGACTGCATTTGCTCTCTCCTCCGACTAAAGGACCATAATGCAAATTGCCCATTATTCACTGCATCCCAGGCTTGAGTACTTGGTTGGCCTCTTGGCATGGTGCATTCAGCTATGTGTGAGATTGCACCTGGGTGGACAAGAGTATTACCTCATGATCTACTATATATAGTATGTTTCTTCACTTGTTGGATTGAGGTAGCGGGGCTGACACACCTTGGATCGTGCTGAAGATGCTATTTGATAGCTGTGGACTGGGAGTGCGCAGATCCAGAGCGTTTCGCCGTGGCGAAGCGGCATTTTTGCCAAGCAGATCCAGAGTGTGTCGAAGGTGCCGTTTCTAGGTGTGGCCATCGGCTGCATTCTGCCTTATAGGCACACCTCAGCTGCCAGGCCAGGCAACTGGGCCAGGCAACGGGGCATCGAAAGCGACATGCCAGGCAACTGCTTTATGGGCTCCCGAAGGCGACGTGCCAGGCGACGAGCGAGGCGACGTTATAGGCATTTTGGTTGGCGGCGGCTGATTGCCGGGAGCCTTGGGAGTGAGCCTCTGGCACGTGCCAGGCAACTGTTTTATGGGCTCCCGAAGGCGAGGTGCCAGGCGACGTGCAAGACGACGTTAGGCATTTTGGCTGGCTGCGGTGTGGAAATAGATGGTGTCGTTTGCCCGGCCGGAAACCCTGCGCAGACGGCACTGGGCACACCAGCCTGCACCTCTTTTCTTTAGGGCTTCGAAAGCAACGTTATAGGCAGTGGGCCCCGTTCCGACCTGTTGTGAGACGATAGGCGCTGGCCACGCCTAGAAGGCCTTGGCCTGCACCTCTTTTCTTTAGGGTTTCGAAAGCGACGTTAGGCAGTGGGCACCCCGTTCCGACCGCTGCTGTGGGCAGAAATAGATGGTGTCGTTTGCCCGGCTGGAAACCCTGCGCAGACATTAGGCACTGGCCACTTAGGGTTTCGAAAGCAACGTTAGGCAGTGGGCACACACCCGTTCCGACCGCTGTTGCGGGCAGAAATAGATGGTGTCGTTTGCCTGGCTGGAAACCCTGCGCAAACGTTAGGCACTGCCTTGGCCTACACCAGCCTGTTTTGGACGCCTCTTTTTCGTGTGGAATTAAATTGTGGAAAGCCGTGTCAAACCACTTGGCCGCCAGCCAACCAATCAAACCACTTGGCCATCAGCCAAATTATGTGAACTCCCAAAGCCAAGGCACCCCTGACGAAAGAGGTGAGTGTGCTTCTCGATAACACTGTCGGGGAAGTCTTTCTCAAGTTTTGGCAGCAACCACAACCACAGGCAGCAAATGTCAAACAAGTCCTTCTGCTCATCCAGACTTCGCTGCGCTTGTTTCTGCCAGGGGATGCATTCATGTTCAGTGAGCTAGATTGTGAATTGAACCCTGTCCTTGGCTTTGGAGCTTGCATTATTTGAAGCCCGCCTGTTAAAGTCCTGAAGAATGGTGGCAAAAACTCTTAAACATTTCAGATTCTTCTTTTGGGATGACCACCAGCTTCTTTTGGGACGACCATCAGTCCTCTGTAGCCCTTAGAGCCCGCAACTCAGCTGTAGCAGTCGTTGTTGTCAGAATCTCCTGGAACATAGCCTGGCCATGATATTTTGCTGTTTCGTAGCACGATGTAGACCCTGGTACCCAGAATTCATCACATAAAACTTCAAGAGTCATTCCTGCAGGGTTCATCAGTCAGTTAGTTAGTTACCCAGGAGTATAGTATGAACATGGCTTTCAAACATTCACTTTTTGACAACCCCCACCACTGCTTTCATGCTTGTGGATGTCGTAGTGCTGGTGGACAACGTTGCAAAAAGCATCGCTTGCCCTCAGCCTTGATAGCATGGATTTGTTTGGTACACTAGCAGTAACAGGGAAAAAAAGAAACAGAATAAAGAAGAAGCCAAGGAACATGTTGTACACCAGGCTACGTTTGCTGCTGTCCACTCTGTGGCGCTTGTTCGTGCACACGCGGTTGTATTCAGCCACAAATTTTCCCAAGGCGTCCTTCAAGGGTTTGGGAGCACCCTTGCACATTCGTTTGTCCAGCTCGATCGCTTGCCGGAAGTCTCCCAGGAACTGAAGCGGTGACGGAGATTGCTTCTCCGAGCTGACATTGGCAATGCCTGAGATTCCAAGTGTGGTTTGGGGTGTGCCGGGGGTCCAAAGGAATATAAAACAAACTTAAAGAACAAAGATCATTTTCTTGAAGGCTATAAGGTCCATCTGAGGGGCGAAGTGACGCCAAGAAAAAATTAGCGGGATGATCATAATGGGTGTAGCTACACCTCACTAAGCGAAACGACTGTAGGAGCTTGGTCATACATTCATCCTGTAGCTTGGTGTCATCCATCTCCTTATTGGTTGAGTTTTGGTCATGAGCACAACCAACACCAAGTTTAGGCAAACAACCCATATGTACAGCCATGGTTCCAAAGCATCAATGATGGCGCCAATACCAATCATGATGATCAGCTTGCAAAAGCCATCAACAAACCCCACTGTGCCACAATGGACACGGCGTGTCCCATCAATGTGGGGAACTTGACTTCCACAGATTCCAGGTGGCTTTTGTATCCATATTTCAGGAACTCCTGGATGCGGCTTTCCACTTGACACGTAGATGGAAAGTCTGCAGGGCCAGAATTGGCAGCAAAGAGAGTGAATTAGGTAGTGTTCAATACTCTTTCTTGAACCTTCCATGATCCATGTTTTTGGTCAACCCCCCACAGCCGTTTTTGGCATTCTTGGTGATATCGAAGGCAGTGAGAGGCAACCAAAACTCACACACGCTCTTCGTAGGCGCCAAACTCAGCTCTGGTTTGTCTGCAGCAAAGCGATCGTTCACCAGCCGATTGATTGCCTGCAGGCTTTTCTCCGGAACCATAACATCTAAGAGTGAGATTTCCCAAGCCTCGTGGAGCTTATTTGGGTCCAAGTACCTCTGGTTTATCCAGTGCCCAAGGTTGTCTTCTGCAACAACCTGATCCAGAAAGAAAGAGGAGGATAATGTATTCAGGTCTTGTACAACTAAGTACTGCACCGACTCAAAACATTCCAGGATTTCCTGGATCGGCTTGGAATATGGCTCATCCATTTTGGCCAACGGAAGGTGTCAAACACTACACCAGTGTGGAATGCTTCAAAAAACTAGCTTTATGATTCTGCTTGCATTGAATGTGATGTTCAAAAATGCTGCAGGACATATCATCATGCATACTGCATACTGCATACATGAACATGGTACACTGAACATTGGTAGTGGAGCTCGTCTAGCAAGTAATTTTTCCCTTGCAAATCAGCCACGGTGGAAAACAACTTCCAACTGATGAACTCGGGGAGGCGGTGGCCTGTCTCCCAACTGTATGCGGCCATATTTGAAAGCTGCGCTTGGACCAGCTTCTATGAACTCTGAACGGGGGTAAGGAAGCTTTGTCCTTTCTGGATCGCACAAACCGTGATAGTATTGCACTGCACGGTCTAAGTGACTAAAGTCATTCCTAAACGCTTGGGCGATCGGATGATCATATGATATTGCATACACACTCCTAGCCTTCACGAGCAAGATATGTAAAGCTTTGTGGAACTTTTCCCGCTTGTTGCCCCCTTGCCGGCTTCCGGTCTTTGAAAGCATTTTTCAATGTAATCGAAGAGGGAAGCATCTCATTCCAGTTGCGGACCTTGAAGCAACGTTCAATGTACACAGGTCATTCTCAACCCTTGCCACTGAACTGCAAGCAAATGGCAGTGTCGACAACTTCCACGACGCATTCCAGGCCCTGCTTGGCAAAGGTTTCGGGAAGCTTCATTTGCAAGGTCCTGTCAGATCACAGCAGTAATGCAGAAACATCCCACAAAAACATGAAAATAGGCCTTTGGATATCCCGGATTGTGTGCACTGTTGGGTTGGATGCCACAGCGGTGCGAACCACACTGAGGGCTGCATCTGGCCAGGATGAAACTGCAAGACAGTAAGGATCAATCAGTTTCCAACTCCAAAGAATTTCAATCATTCCAGGCCTATATCTTCATGTGTGTGGCCCACCTCAAGGTGGGCCACAGTGGAAACAGAAAAATATCCAGATTGGACCATTGCAATGCACCACTTGGAAATCATTGGGTTTCGAACTTCACGTGGACAATTGTCGCCTTGAACCCATAACCAAGCTGAACATTCGGTCAGAAGCTGACAGGAAGGAA